AAATTCGTGTGACTCGCTTTATTGCGGTGGTCTGGAACGGAACCCGCAATATCTCCGAGGTATGCCTGTATATTATTTCGTTTTTATTCTTTTCTCAAGCACTTTGGGCGTTATTTTTTTATATTTAAACGAGTTATTATAATAAATTGTTGTTATGATTCTACTCTGCAGTCTTATTTCTAGTTATTTTATATATATTTAACTTTTGCATTTTGTTTATACCAAATTGTATGCTTTTTTAAAAAATTGTAACGTCTTTCTTTGTGTTTCCATGAACTATTAACCTATATCAATAGCATTTCATGTGAAGCAGAACGAGATCGAGTTGGATGTAATCGATAATCGTACACATACGCCTCAGAATAATGTGGTCAGGCGTTACTAAGTACGTACGTTTGCTGTTGTCTTCCGCCTTCCGACGATGCGTCAGATGAAATCTGCTCATGTAAGGCAAGAAGACCTTCACATTTTGTCTCATTGCCCATGAATGTATCATTTATTTTTTATTTCTCCCTGACAGTTTCCTTGTTACTGACGAAACACGTGTAAAGGTAATTTCTGTCCACGCATTCAACATGTAAATTATTTGAAATTTTAAAAGTAGTATTTATTTCGCCACTGTCTATTAAATAGAAATGTAAGGATGAATAACTGATATATAAAGGTTCTGGATTGTGTAGGGATGAAAGTTTGAAAGAAGAGCTAAATCAGTCTAGTGAGATGGTTACAATGTTGAAAGCTGTAGCGAGAACGAATATATTTAAAATTATATTTACGAGGCAAAAACCATTTTCACAATGTATCTAGCACGTAATATATGGCAACATTAACTCTTGGTTATTTAAACACGTATATTCTATACGCCATCATCTCGTACGTGCATTTGAACACTTAAGGGACGATATATTTAAAGTTATACCCGTTTTACTGTACTTTAATTAATTGTTTCCTTGTTATCAGCGCGAGGCCATAAATAAATTCTAGTCATTCCCGCTCATAGTAGCTTTGTGTTTGATGCTCTGAGGTTTCTTGATAATTGAAATAAAAAATAGTAGTTATTTTTATCAACACAAATTATAATTTAATCCTATAAGTACACAAATAAGAGAAGTCACATATGTTATATATAAAACTAGGTTTGGAAAGGTTAGGTTAGGTTAGGTTAGGTTAGGTTTTTATTATTTAGTGTTCTGTCTGACGACAGGTCCATATGAACAGGATCCTTCCATCCTTTTCTCGGACTGGGACCTGTTCATATACGTTCTTGGCAGATGATCCAGAAGTGGTTTGCCATTGACTTCTTCTGTGTGTGAATGGAGTAATTGTTGGGATGCCACGGAGAAACCGGGAAAGCCCCCGGAGGAAAACTCCGTGTTGCCTAGACCACGGCCTTGCCCAACACAAGTTATAAATTCGGGCACCGCCGGGAATCGAACCCGAGACCCCAAGATTACAAGGCCAGCGTTCTAACCGCTAGACCACCGTGGCTTGATAGGTTAGGTTACGTTAGGTTAGGTTAGGTTTAAAGATTTCAAAACATTTTTTCTTCCCAACTCATAATTTTTCTATTCTGGGGGGAAAATAGGTTTCCGATCGCTTCGTAAAATGTAAGTTTTGTGTATTTTTTTAATTGGCTGTATACTTGCATATGTGTAGAATGTGTGACGATTATACGTAAAAAATTCTTCCAAAGTGGTGTGCAGATTAAAATTTATTTAAATAATTCAATAGCTGCGATAATGATGAAAACATTTACCAGTGCAGTCTGATATTATGTCTAACATCGATATCTAATAGAGTCGATACATTGTCTTACACCACAGTCGATAGGAATCTAATGTTATGTCTAACATCGATACCTAATAGAGTCGATACATTGGCTTACACCACAGTCGATAGGAATCTAATCCTTCTGAACACATTCCAAATTAACATGAATCATATGCGGGCAGTATTTACTCAAAAGTGTCGTCATTGTCTTCATGGAGATTCGACTTAAAGCAGCTAAGTGTGTATATTTTAGTTGAAATACGCACCTATCTATTGTGCCCGCTTGTGTTTCTGTTGGTTTCGGAATGGAGTTCTCGGATACCCAACTGTTTTGCATAGGCAACATTTAAGTACCTGCTTTGAACAGAAAGTTACTATCCTCTGCGTGTTGCGCTGTGTGGTCGACTGGGGCAGTAATTTATTCTTAAACTTCGGGAGATATCCAACAAATTACGTGGCGCAACATCCCAGAAAACTGCATTATTCATGCTAGTCGTCGTGAGAACCAGTAATTTTACAAGAAGTCTTTCATTAAAAATTATGTTTTTACAATGGTTTTTTGAGTATTAAAAATACTTAAAAAGTTAGACTGAAGGCGACCTGGGATATTTTGACATAGACTGGAGAAAAATATTAAAAAGGATTTTAAAGTAATAAGGTGTAAGAATGGGAACTGAATTCAGTTGAATTTATCTGCTGAAGAAAGCTATTGGTGTGTGTAGAAGTTCTCTGCTCAGTGGAGTAGGTGATTTATCTTATCAATTAACTGAAACCTAAAATAAAACGAACATATTTTTTAAAATTAAAATCACGAAGTACTTATATTATTTTAATAATGCGTGAGACAGACGAATCTTTAAAATATAGTCAATGAACGCTTTCTATAGCATCGTCATTCTTCATGTTATCACTTAAGGCTCTTTTGTCCTCAACCCAAATGCTGTCAGAAGTTGGTTGGGTTGCCTGAACGTAGGCGTTTGTGTAATGGCTGCAGATCTTGTAGAAATGCGTACAGCAAAGTCTAGTGTCATTTAAAATTTCTCAGTAAATTTTAGAGAGTACTTGACTGGTTATATTCTTTGTACTTGTTGCTAGGATACCACAGGACCGATTTCTAACATACTTTTCACTTGTTGTTTAATTTTAACCGTCTAATCACAATAAAATATTTTATTAAAGATTAGACGGTTAAAATTAAACAATTATAATCATCACAATATGATGCAACATTATCATCTCATACTTTTCACTTTGAAAGTTATTTTAGGCATTTTAAGTCCACAAGACTCGTAAATAAAACGTATGATACGTAGGTTTTGTTTTATTATTTTAGTTTAAATTATCAGAATTATAATAATGTGGTCGATGTAACTGATATGCACAACTATATGTCCATGTCGTCGCTTTGGGTCATGTAAAGTATGATGGATGGAGCAGGGACCTCTGAAACGTCGGTAAACTTATACCAGACTTCACGACGCATCAAACCAGGAGACAGCCATCTCCATTTTTTATTAAGTTTTGACAATAGCTTGACTTAGGGCCTTTTTGACTTTCTACCTAGTCGAACTGCTTTTGAGTGCATTTGGTTCAACGTTCGCGAGATTCACGAGTTGATCCGCCTGCATAACTTTACGATTTGGACCCCTTCATAAAATTTTCGGCTAGAAACAAAATTATTTTATGCGAGGATGTTTCCTTATGGATTCAATACAAGGTGTGGAGTTTATTATACCTACATTTCCATTCATTACTCGCCTTCTATATAATTTGTTAGATCATGTAGTAAGTTTTAAGTTTTAGATTTAATCGGAAACAAAATATTGTTCTTACCTTCTGCTTCATCTTGATTTGAAGCCGTGCAGAATTTTTCCAATTAATTTATATGAATTTATTTGCGCGTAGGCACAAAGAATAACTGTTTT